AAGAAGCTAACAGCTTTGAATCACGAAGATGGCAAGCAACTATCAACCCTGACCTGGATTTCTCAAGTGTACATGTCAGCTATCAGCCTACCAGACGAGTGCTGGAAGAGTTCCCGTGGTCACAATGTCAGCCATCACTAATCCTTCACCTAAGCTTTGTAGCAACAACGAACAGCAGACCATCACTTAGGTGGAGTTTGTGCAATGCCAGGTGGGGAAAATTCAAAACTGATACAAACTCTGTTGCTGACTCACTGCCAAACCCATGGACATGAATTCCTCTTAGGGTGCATTGTATGATGCAATTCTTACGTGTGTCAAGAATAGTATCCCCTTAGGGTATAGGGAAATTGATATCCCAGACTGGGATGATGAATGCCAACAGATGTATAAAAGTTTCATCTTAGCTGGACCACAGCAAGCCAACAATGATGCCACACAGCTCATCAACCATCTAGACAAAGTCAGAAAAGCCTGATGGGAAGAAACACTGGAGTCAATTAACTTCTCACATTCCAGTTGGAAGGCTTGGCAGAAGATAAACCATCTCACAGGAAAGAAACAAAGTATAAGCAAGTGTGAAGTTTAAGCTGATGACATTGCAGTTCAACTTGCCTGTATTGGCCGTTACATTAAACCTGACAAGGAATTCATTAGGCAGATAAAGAAAGAAGTTAAACAGCTCTGGAAGACTCATGGTCCCAATGCTCACCTGTCTGGAGAAATTAGTACTGAGGAAATGAAGGCAGCCCTTAAGCTTTTAAGAAAACAAATCACCAGGGCCTGATGCTATACATGCTGAATTTCTTGACAAAATGATCAGCTTTATTATGCTCATGCTTCAGAACTGCAGTTTCACTCTCAAGACCATCAACAGGCAGAAAAATCACCTTAGCAGTCTTGAGAACGGCATCCCTCAAAGCTCGGTATTTTCTCCATTGTTTTTCAAAGTGTACATTGTGGATCTGCCTCACAACCAGTCCAAGCAGAATGGCTGTGCTGACAACCTGGCTCTCACCAACTCAAGCAAGCCTTGGGAAGCCACTTTGACATCAGACATGAACGTGCTTGCCAGCTACTTCCACAAATGGCATCTCCAGCTCAGTCTTGCTAACACAGCAGCGAAAGCCTTCCACTTAAGTAACAACCAGGCAAAGAAAGAAATAACAGTTAAGATTGGCAATTGGACACTTGAACTCTTTTACACCGTTACATATTTAGGAGTCAAGCTGGACTGGACCCTTACCTACTGCTAGCACTTGGAAGAGATCCAGGGTAACGTTAACAGCAGGGTAGCAGCATAGTATTCATCACCTTGCTGGTACCACCTGGGGTACAAGTTTCGAAACATTTTGCACCTCCTCTTTGGCACTTGCATATGTGCCTACTGAGCACTGTGCACCAGTACGGGGCCAGAGCATGCACACAAAGCTAGTGGAGTCCAACCTTAACAGCATCATGAGGACCATTACCAGATGCCTTATGCCAACCCCAGTTGACTGCTTACAAGTCCTCTCAGGCATTCCCCCCCACACCCCCCCAAACATTGAGAAAAGCTGCTACTCTGATCCTAGGCCTGAAAGCCCAAGACCCAAACCATTCTTTGCACTCCAGTCTAATAGTAGCTGCAAGCCAGAAAACCAACTATCACCTGAAGTTGGAACCTGCTCTCCACTCAGTCCAATAAGCTCATTGAATTTGCCAGTGGCCTGTCACCTACAGCATGGACCCTCCATCAGTGGAACAGGAAATGTGCTACACAAGAACTGCAGCTAAAGAACTTCATCCTCAACATGAGCTTCCACCCCTCAGCCTGGCAGCTGCCCTGCAGGGCCTGGACTGCTCTTAACCCTCTCAGAATGGGTGTTGGACAGTTTAAGGCAAACATGCACTCTTAGGGCTTCTCCAGCAATGCTGGCTGCAGCTGTGGTGCTAAAGCTCAGATGGTTGACCACATGATCTACGAATGCCTATACAGCCCTCCTTCGGACTACCAAGGCCTTAATAACATTGACCATTCTACCTGTTGCTGGCTTTCTGGCCCTCATGCTTCCAACATATGAGTGGCAACACTCGTTTCATCATCACTGGGTTCTTCCCCTCACTGAGGAATTTCCCAGCACCTCAGATAATTTACCCCAACACCAGAATCATAGGGATGGGAGAGATGGGGAGGGGGTGTTGGCAGGTGTGAGAGGGCTTCCAGCAGGCTGAGATCAGTGGAAAAACATGGCCTGTGAAAGTGAGTGGCAGAGAGAGCAATAACAACACTGTTCTTGCTGTGCTGTCTAGAGGAACACCTGTGCCTGGAGGGGCAGAGTCTGTGCCCACTGGGCAGCTGGTACAGAGAGAGGGACTCTTGTGTAGTCTCCTCTTAGTGCAGGGCTGGATGGACCTCTCCCTGTGTTCACCCTGCCCTGGGGACTCCCAGAAGGGCTGATCTCCAGGACATCCATTCCTCACCTCAATCAGACTCTTACACAGGGACAGTCTTCGGTATGTGCGACCAGCCAACTTGGGCACATCTAATACCCTACAAGGCCAAAATTCATATCTTGGTATCTGTGCCCCATACTAGTCATTACCTGTGTCCATACCACACTATGGAGCTCCCACTCATGGTGGACAGAACCATGGGTGGAATGAGCCTGTTACAATGGCTGACTGGATATGGACTGTCCATCCCACTCTTAGGCCCTGTCCCTGAGCTCCCTGGGCCAGCTGGAGCTGGCACTGTTTGAGGCTGTGTTGGGCTGTGGTAGGGGATTGTAAATGTAGGTAGTTTGAACAGCCCCTGAGCAGCTGGGCTGCTAGTAAGGAGTCCTGTAATCTGCATATCCACAGAGTCCCACCCTCCAGCACTGTACCATCCCCAGCTCTCCCTCCATCTGTTGAAGCCAGTGTTGATCTAAGCTCCGTCTGGTCACTTCCTCCAATGCAAATAGAAAGAAACTGTCAGGGATGGGGCAAGTGAGTTGAAACATCTAGTTAGTGTTTGTGCCATTTCCCTGCAACTCAGCACTTATCTTTGATGTCATTTCAAGGGATCAGATGAGTGCCTGGGGAAGGTGTTTCTCCATATTACAAACCCCATGAGCAGGGGCAGCCCTAGGGAACAGCCCTCTGAGGAAGCAGAAGGGACTTGCAGTGCAGAAGGAGGAGCCTTTTGGGGCTCCCATCATCTATGATCTATGGCTGGTTGGATGAGAATTGTCCATCCCACTCCCACTCTCTGTCTCTGAACTCCCTGGGCCAGTTGCACCGGGCACTGTTTGAAGCAGAGTCAGGTCAGTACCGTCTGTGTGAAAAAGAAGCATCTGTTAGACCCTGGACAGGGGAAAGGGCTCCATGGAGGAAGGACGATGCTGGGCTGGTGTCTGCAGTTGGGTGCAGTTACACAGGAATCTCCCATCTGACCTGCGTTGGCAGTAGCTACTCTACCTTGGCCTTGCTCTTTCCTGTGGGGGAGAATCACGCCAAGTCTGGTCTGGTTTTCCCTCAGAGGCTATAGAGGAGCATAAATGGGTGCCAGAGTCAGAGGAAAGGGGTTTAAATGATGATTTAGCCTTAAGGGTCGGCAAAATACGGCTTGTCAACTGAATGTCTGGCCAGCGACTCCACCTGCTGTTCTCCACATGGTGCTGAACCTTGCACACTCCTGCCCACACCGTGCTCCCAACCATGCCCGCCGGTCCAGTCCTGGCCAGTGCACACAGCTTCCCGACAAAGCTGCTCGGTTCTGCCCCCCGCCTCCCACCTCCAGTGGCTCCACCTCCCCGTCCTGCTCAGCTCCACCCTGGGGGGAAGCTGCATCTAGGCAGCTCCTGCCCCAGTGTGTAACACCCAGGTCCTGGCCACCTTCCACCCACCCTGGATGTCCATGCAGTGCAATGAGCAGACACCTGCAGGTGGCCAAGTGGGTGGAAGGTGCCCAGGAGCTGGAGTTGGATCCAGCTGGAGTCATGTGCCCCCCCCCCCCTCCCCCATGCCCTGAGTGGCACAGAAAGGCAGGAGGAGGAAGAGGAGATGCCATGGTGGGGCCGGGGCGGGGTGGGGAGGCGGAAGCCAAGCAGGAGCTGGGTGGCTGCACCTGCACCAGGAGCAGCCCCGCTGGGAAGTTGTGGGCGCTGGCCAGGAGTCGGGATGGGGCTGGGCCCACAAGTTGCGGGTAGGAGCATGGTGCAGGCTCCCCTGGGTGGCAGTGGGCAGGGCTCAGGCCCATGTGGAGCACTGTGGAGGTAGTGGGGGTGAGGGGGCGGTCAGGTTGGACTGAACCTGCACCTCCCCAGTGAGCTCTCCTGTCTGCGCCCCAGGTCAGCTCCCAGAACCTAGCAGACAGCCCCCCAACACAGACATGCAGCCCCTCCCAAACACACCACACACAATGTACAAGAGTAAGACTTCATTTGGAGCTATGATGCAAGCACTCTACATAAACTACTCAAAAAATGCCATAAATAAGCATATATATATAATTTTTTGAAATACAGTTAAAAATGTTACAGTAGGTGTTTCATTTTTAGGATATGATTTGGTTTTTGTCTCGAATTTGTTAAAGTGATTTCTTCTAAAAGATTTTAGATGTGTGGCTCTTGACAGCTGACCAAAACTCGTTAAGTGGCCCTCCAGTCAAAATAGCTGCTCACCCCTGGACTAGAGGCAGAGTTCTAGCTCAATAATGGATTTTCTCTCCCCTTGCCTCAAACCAATTGGGCTACTGTCTCTCTCTCTCTCACACACACACACACACGCTGAGAGTTCAACTCTTGTCACTTATGACTGAAGCTAGTGCTGAGGATAAAAGAAAAGTCTCCTCTGGACAACCCCCCATCCTTCTCTCCCCAGTTTCTGAGACTGCTGCTACCAGACAGAATCCCCTGCTGTGGCACCTCGGAGTTCAGGGGAGATCCTGGCTCTGAGCATGCACCTCTCAGAACTGGAACCCTCACCTATGACATTGATCCAAACAGTGTCACTGGGATCTGACCAGGAGTCTGGTTTCAGTTGGACAGGAACCTGGCATGGTGGATGGTAAAATTCCACCCATCAACATGAGATGACAGGTCTAAGATTTCACTTCTGTCTTTATACAGATAGAACTGCACATACTGACACTCACACTGGATGGTGACACATCCCCTAAGGGGGATCACCCCTCTTGAGCTCGTGGAGATGGAGGGTTTGGTTAACAGGGAATCTGCATCACAGAGAAACAAGGATTAAATCAGGGAGATGCAGATTCTGCTCCATGGGACTGCAAACTTGCTCCTTAGTGCAGCCCCAGTGGCACAGAGAGGGAAGAACAGACAGAGCCTTGGGAGTACAAGGGACCTGGGCCCCAAGTCATACTCATAATCTTAGCTCTGCAGGGGTCAATTCAAAAGGTTGCTTTGGGGTCTGAGGTACAGTTCTCTCAGGCTCCATTCCAGGCTGAGGAAAGATTCACAGGGTCTGTTCTATTTTGGGGTCCAGGACTCCAACCCCCTTTACTCTTGTCAGTCTCTCCGGTACTTAACACCAATGTGCCCACTGCAATCAGCTCACAATAGTCACATCCCGTGGCCTGGAAAGGAGATGGCTCAGTAATGACAAGATCCCAGGTCCCACAGCTGTCACTTTCCCCTTGGGTTTAAGTGGATCCTGTCCTAACCGGGAGTGGAGGGGGACCTACCAGCTCCCCTCCATATGATCAGTGATGTCAGAGCCCAACACTGCCCAGAACAGCCCCCAACAATGTGGGGCTCAAATCACTGTCTCCACAGATGTAGGTACATGCCCTGGTCTCAGATCCACACTGTGGGAATACACCCTCCTCTTATATCCCTCCATAGCAGAATGCCTTGGTCCTCATACCCGGCCACGGACACACACTCTAGCTGTCTCCAGTACTGGCAAAGAAAGAGGAGAGAGAGCAAACACCATGATGACATCAAGGGGGTCGCCTCTCAGTGCTGCTACTCACTGAGCCTGATGTCCCTGCAGGCGCTGAAGAAAGAACTGAGTGTTGGCAGCAGGGGCAGCTGTAGGAAGGTGATGATCGCAGTTCATTTCCTCAATATGAGAAAAAAATAGTCCTCAACTCTCTTTGATAGTCTGGTGTGGTCAGAGCTAACACAGACCCCCTATGTAGCCAGCGATCCACATCGTCTTATTCAGAAGCCTCCAGTGCTCACATCTGTGAGTTTAAGGGGGAGAAACTTGTCACCTGAGCCCACCTAGATGAGAATCCCTGCCTGCTTGGGCCATCTGATCAGCCCAGGGGAGGCATTAGTCCACAAAAAGCACTGAACCAAGAGATGTTCTGCCATGGAGTCAGCAGGGATATTCCTTCCTGACCCCAGCTCTGCCAGGCTCCCACTTCGCAGTGTGAAGGTCAGGGGGGCTTGGGACAGAGTAGTCTCTGGCAGGTACCTTGCAGGTAACAAGAACTACATAAATAATATGGGGCTGCAGATTCTTCATGTTGTAGCGCCTCCAGGAGGGAGAAATGAAGAGCCACAGACTGAGAGGAATAGGGAGTGTCTCCAGAGCCAACTCCCTTCCACCTGCTGTCATTTCTTTTCACCTGATGCCCTGTCACCTATCCAGGTCCTCCCTACTTATAGGGGAAGGATGGGATAATAGAATCAGAAAAGTAGGCCTGTGTGAGACCTGAAGAGGTCATCTAAACCAATCCCCTATGCCAGTGGTTCCCAAGACCTGACAGGTTGCACACCACCAATTTAGAGTGATGGAACTTGAAATACCTCCAGAAAAATGTTGTCATATAAAGTAATTATAATAAATCTGTTAATGCATACTACTGACAGGTTGTCTATGTACCACTGGTGGTACTCCTTCCACAGATTGGGAACTACTGCCCTATGCCTTCATTTAAAGGGTGTTTCTGAAATGCCTTTTAAGAAACAGGGGTGGGGGGGAGCAGAGACTTGCACGGCAGGGGTGGCTGCACTTCAGCTCCTATCCTCTCCCCACACCAGGGTGGGCAGCCCACAACCAGGGAGCAGCAGCAGGGGATGTTTTTAAGTCCCTCAAGATGGAAAGAATCTTTTCTCCGCTCTCCCTTCCCCTCTATGCTCAGTGGCAGGTTCCCTCCCATCCTCTCTCAATCCTTCCCTCCACTGCCAGCAACTGCTCCTGCAGCACTGCAGCTGGCCTGCACATGCACCCAGGATCTGCTGGAGACAGCAGCAGCAAGAACAGGAGGAGTAGTTGGGGGGTTCCCTTCCTGGTGCCTGCTCCTGGACTGACAGGGAATGGGAGGGGGTGAGAAGGAGACTGGGCAGAGAGGAAGGACCCACCTACTGGTGCTGCTTGCTGCTGTCCCTGTCTGAGCCTGGTACCCCACAGAGCATGACTGGGAGGGCAGGAGCTCCCTGGGCACCTGTTTGCAATCCAGCCACTGCTGCTTAACCCCCTGCCCATTGCTCCCATACCCGATACAAGTGCCAGGGATGAGGCCCCTGTCAAAGATGGCCAATGCATTTCTTTTGCTGGGAAAACAATTCTGCTCCCACAATTCCATCACACGATGGTGCCAATGGGAGATACAGACCCCTGCTTTAATTAATCTCCTTCAAGCTAACCCTAGACCCCTAGACTACCCTGGCCTCAGATTCATCCCTCACTGTCTTTCCCCACCAGACTCTCCACTCTTTGCCCTATCTGTGCCCGCTCAAGTGCCCATTCTCTTCAACCCAACCCACGCTGGTTGCTCTGGGGGCACTGATCTATCCCTCAGAGTGCTCAAGAAGCAGGAATTTATTCACACCACAATAGAGGCAGAGGCCTTCCCCATTGCTAGCACCTGCCCTGGCTGTGGGGGCAGAGGCCACCATTTAGCTGTGTGCTTGTTTCCCTTGAGAACAATGGGGGAGAGTGGCCGTATCTACTGGGGGCATCTATTGAGGAAGGTGGTTAAGGGAAGGAAAGGCAAAGTGGGGATGTGAATGACCATTGTCAAGATGAGAATTGCTGGGGAGTGTCCAGGGTTCCCTGGTGACATAGGCTGGGGACAGCATGAGGAAGGGGAGAGGGGGCAGGAGGGCAGATGATCCAGGTGAAGATGGTATGAGGAGGAGAGGAGAGACATGACAGAGCCAGGGCAAGAGGGAAACAATGGATTGGGGCTGGTAAAGAAAGAGAGGAGAAACAGGAAGAAAAGCCAGGGGCATGTGGAGATGTGGGCTGTATGGTGATCTCTGACAACTCTTGAGGCAACAGTAGTAGAGTGAGAAAGAGCCAAAATCTTTTACTGACAGTCATGGAAAATGGCTTTAACTCACACCACCACCCATTATAAGGGACTGTCACTAAATTATAATCTGTTACTTCCATAGCACTGCTGGCTGGGTGGGGAATGGAAGAGGGAACTTGTGTGCCCTGCCCCTGGTTCCTATGGGGGTGGTGAGCTATTTTTGTCCCCTTTCTTCCTGCTTTTGCCTTCAGCTTTGTTGTGGCCCTTCAGCTACATCCTGTAGGCAGAGAAGTTCAGCAGCTCAGCTCTGCCCTGGGCCCTTGAGTTGCTCCCCAGGAGACAGGGGGGCAGTGGGAGATGGGGCTCTTTCGCTTCAGGAGGTGTTGGCTCTGATCTGAACCCTTCCCCTGGGCTCTAACGGAACACTAGCTCCCAGTTCAGACCCAGAGGTACAACCCAGGAGTCCTGGCTGCCAGCCCCAGCTACAACGCACTAGACCCCATCCTTCCCCCAGAGAAGGGGATATGTGGGCAAGTGCTGGGGTACGTGACAGAGCACCAGATGCAAAAAAAGTTAGAAATGACAGCAAATGGGAGCTGGCTCTGGAGAAGCTCCCTAGTGCCCTGGATCTGTGACTCTACATTTCTCCCTCTTGCAGGGACTGCAATCTGCAAAACCTGAAGCCCCATATCATTCATGTTGTTCATGTTGCCACCAGAGACTGCTATTTCGTGAGTGTGCGTGCATGTGTGCACGCGCAGGGAGACCAGGGACACAGGCAAAGGATGATTAGCCCAACTGGTATGAGGTGGGAGGAGAGAAAATAAGTGCCTGAGCAGGCACTAGAATTCAGCCTCTAGCCCCAGGGTGGGCAGTTATTTCAGCTTGAGGGCCACTTAATGAGGTTTGGTGAGCTGTTGAGCGCCACACACATAAAATCTTCCAAAAGATATAATGTTAACAAATTAGAGATAAAAACAAATCATATACTAAAAATCAAACATCTACTGTAACATATCTTAATTTAATTTCAAAAAAATGTTGCCCTGTTTCGTGTTTTTTGAGTAGTGTATATAGAGGCGATTGCATCATAGCTCACAATAAAGTCTTACTCCTATATATTGTGTGTGGTGTGTGTATTTGGGGTTGGGGTGCTGTGCACATTGTTGCGGGGGTGCTGTTTGCATCCTAGATTCTGGGACGTGGCAAGGGATGCGGGGAGGGTGGGGGGAGGGTGGGGCAGAAGGCATGTGCAGCAGAGCTCCCCAGGTGGTGCAGGTACAATCCAGCCCCCCTCCCCCTTCCCCCCAGCAGCTAACTGAATAGTGCTTGTTGGGGGCTGAGCCCTGCCTACTCCCTCCTGGGATAGCCTGTGTCATGTCCTGTCCTAACCCACTGGCCCTAGCCAGTGCACAGAGCTTCCCAGCAGGGCTGCTCCTGGTGTAGCTGCAACTGCCAAGGTGCTGCTCACCTCCCCCAACCTTCAGCATCTCCTCCTCCTTCTCCTGCCCCTGCTGCACCACTGTGGGCAAAGGGAGAAGCTTCAGTTGGGTGGCCCCAGCATGAAGGGCTGAAGCTTCAGCTCTAGGTCCTAGCTGCTTTCCACCCTCTCCACAGACCTCCGAGTAGCCACCTGCAGATGGCCAAGTGGGTAGAAGGCAGCTGGAGCAATGCAAGAAGGGCAGGAGGAGAAGCCACTGGAGGCAGGGGATGCTAAACAGGGAAATCTGAGTTTTTCCTTTGTTTTTTTCATGGAAAATGGAAAACCCAGATCCCTGCATATAACCCAAGAGCAGAGGCAGCCCTAGGGAACAGCCCTCTGGGAATGATCCCCTACTTTGCAGTTCCCCTTGGGACAAGAGACTCCCTTGCTCCCTCCAACCAGAATCTGCAGGAGCTGTGGCTCTTCCCCCTAGAGGTGGACCTTCCTGTGACTCGCACACTTTTCCCTGGACAAATGTCAACTCTACAAGGCCTCAGGTCTCAGGGCAGAGCCTGGCTCAAACACCCTGGTGCAAACAGGAAGGATACTCACCAGTCACCACAATCTCCACAGGGTTGCTGGGATATGACAAGACATATAGTTCTCCCTGGGGGCGGTAGCTGCAGCTATAGTTCCCTCTGTGCTCCCAGGTCACGCTGGGGATGAAGAACTCAGCCACATGCCCCATAGTTTTCATAGGCTGCAGCATCTGCTGAGCTCCAGCCTTGTGCAGCAAGAACTTCAGGTCCTGGCGCTGACACCGACACACACAGTGGATGGTGACATTTTGTCCTGGAGCCCGGCCGACCGCAGCCCCGCTGGGAACGGCCGAGCCCGGTGCGGTGGGAGCAGGCACT